CAACAATACGTTGTATGGTGTTGTAATCAGGTGAAGAGGATTGCAGCAGTGTTTCGCCGAATTTATCGTTTGAACAAATGGGATGATGGTTCATGTAGATATCGTTTGACGGTGCTAGTATCCCATAGCTATTCACCAGTGACGATCCGATTGATTGCGAGATTCGGGTTGTTATGGCTGAAATTCGTGAATTAGTATTCAACCACTTACACATTCGCTACCACTTACACTAACTCCTTGGAGGTTTAGTGATTGTTTGATTTGAATGAACCGAATTTGTTGCGATGAACATACTCTTTATGAAGGCATTGGCTGGGAACTTTCATTGAAGTGAAAAATTTATCGCATGCAGACTGTTTCTGAGGAATTAATGCCAAAAATACATTCCGAAAACATTGAAAAATTTAATCCATATTAATATGATGCATTTTTGATGTTGAATAACGAGTGAAAATGACAGTTCCATCATAAACTCTAGCAAAGAGTGTGGAATCCGGAACAAGTTCTGTGTTGTTTACAAACTTATGTTCGAGCTTCTCCTGGATCAGGGATCAACAAACTGCCACCCAAGGGCCGCACCTGAACCGCGAATAACATCTGAACCTCGAAAGCTTTCCGGAAATCCGGCTCGCGAGTTAATTTCATTGGATTCACAATGGTCTGAATTATACTGGCAATATTGTGAAGTTTTAGAATGGTTCGATAGAAGAAACCTCACGATGTGTTTTCCCCATCACTTCATCTTACATTTGCATTGAATTTTTCAACAAATGAAAGATTATCCCCGAAAAGAGGTGCAAAATTCGATTACGAGATCAATGAGAGATAAATTAGCAAATTCAGTTGAACTTGTGTGCGTTTTAAAGGGTTTTCTTCACTGAATTACATAACTTTTTCTATTGGTTTCTTGATGTTGGCAGCTATCTTCGACTATAACTTATCACTTTTTCGACTAGAAATTTTAATTTCTTTCTTTTAAGTACTTTCAATCAAACTTTGAGTTTTNTTTTTTTCGAAACATTTGCCGAAAATTGTTTCACTTCGAATCTCTCGTTTTCTTCTCGAATTTTGCACATGATTCGTTCAACATAACTGCATATTTGCTGACAGTTTTATTACTTTTAGTAACTTTTGAAATTCAATTATTGAATGTTGTTTAGTCATTGACTGTTGAATATTTTGAAAGTTCTTGAAACTTCATAGAAACTTGATTACTATGGTTAATAATTTTTGTCTTGAGGCGTTGTCGAGCTCCTCAGAGCTCACGCATCCGAAATGAGGTGCCTTCCCCTCTAGTCTCGCTCCAAACTTCCGAATGAGTGGTTCATCTGGCCATTCATTATAACCTCGTTTCAAGACATATCTGAAGACGCAGATCTCTAGCCTCACAACATTAATTTTTGAAAAGGGTGTATGAGAGGTTGTGTTGGGGTTTCATAAGGTTTATGGAGAGGGTATTAAGCCTTAAATGTGGAATTTATTATCTTCCGAGTTCAGTTATGGAGACCATTTAAAATGAATGATAATCACATACACCGGAACGGAATGATAGCTTCAAAATGTTAACGAGTAAAGGGAACGTGGAGGATTCCAATGTTACGAGAATTTGGTGGTGTTCACATCGAATGAACATCTGGCCGACGAGGCTGTCAGAAGATTTCAATCTGACCCGAGGCGGAAAACTTTGCCGTCCTGTGTGCTGGATAATCGTGCACTCAACCCACACCTGTCACGTCTCATATCAACAATAACTAATGCACCAGTTCTGTTCATTCCAGTTGCTCTTTAAAAACACTGCTGGAACCAGCAAATATAGCGTGAAAAGACTCAAAAAGTGAAGTGGTCTGAATAAGCGATTATACGTTTAGGATGATGCGTTGTTGAAGTGTGTTCGTTTTGATGGTTCAATTTGATATGTCGTGTTGGGTTATGTGAAGTTGGTGAAAGCATCGGTTGAGCTGGACATTCCTCAAAATATACTTTACATTATTCGTGTTCATCAGCAACATCCGATTGAACAAACGGTATTAGGAGAGGACCACACGGAAAAATCGTTGAACGGATGAATGGTGTTGTCGTAGCGGATCTTATACAATCGTGTTTTCCGTGTAGAAACAATGCTCAAACTTGATTGGCTCTAAACTGCAGTAAGGTGCCCAGAATTTTGCTTTGACAATTCAGTAAGTTTCGTGCGTCTGGTAATGGTTCATCGCCCAATTCATTGATGAACAAAAACCTCTAACAAATTACACCAAGTGCGCCCGTGCTCACATTCTTGGATGTACTGATAAAATACCGAGGTTCACTAACGTAATTGAGCTTGTTAAGCGAAACGTAACCGGTAAGAAATTATAAAGTTTGGTATTATCGCATCTTTTTAGGCTTTGTTTTTTTCAAACATGAGTTCCAGTTATTTGAATGCTTTGAACTGGAATTCGGCTAAAATGATAAAATCTGATGGCGATTCAGGATTGCTGAGTGATGTTTTGAATGCGCATTCAATGAGAAATGTGCAGAAATCATATTATTTACCTGTAACATATCGCTGAGTGAATAAATGTAATCGATAGCCGTTTTGAGAATTCTCAATTTAGAAACTCTTTTTGCGTTCGATCGAATTGATGGTAAATGATATTTGAGGATGACAAAAGCCTGAATATAACACAACACTTGAAACATCTTTTCATTTCGTTCTTAACAAATCGATCACTTTTGGAATTGAGTTTGAGAATGAAAAGGTTTGAGGTGATGGTTTTGTTGTGATATTTGCACGTAGATTTGATCTATCGCGGGTGTTTGAATTTAAGTTTTTTGAGCTTGTCGAATATTCGATGTCATATGATGAGTGTTTCAAACAGTTTTATAAACGTCCTCACATAAAGTATTAAAGCAATTCATTC